ATCGTGAACAGGTGACGTCTTCCAAATGGACACCCCCATCATCAACAGTTGCCTTCAGTGACCTCCCCATTTTCCTCTTGAAGACGATCGCTTGTGTTGTGATCGAAATGTCGTGGTTTTTGTTTTTTATTTTCATATTTTTATTTTATTTTTATTATTTTACCAAAAGAACCAAATAATAAGTCTACATTATCGACTGCCAGTACGCTCACTCAGGTTAAGAACCAAGCTACAGTCTACATTACAGACGGCCAGTACGTGCACTCAGTTTAATAACTATTGCTACAGTCTACATCATAGACTGCCAATACGCTCACCAAGATTAAAAAGCAGGCTACAGTCTACATTAGAGACTGCCAGTACACTCACCAAACTTAAAAACCAGACTACAGTCCACATTATAGCCTGCCAGTACACTCATTCAGATGAAGAACCAGGCTCCAGTCTACATTAGTGGTTTTTGTTTTTTGTTATTTTATTTTGTTTTTGTATTCACTTTCTTTTTATTATTTTTCTTCTATCTACGTGACTTTACCGAAAGAACCAAATAATATGAATTCATGCAGCCACGAAAGTTTTGAGTCAAAATGTAATTATTTACTTCACTGAAACTTCAACGGCTGCCGGTATCCGAGTAAATGCTGCCCTCTGCAGGTGGAAGACATAAAGAACAGCCCATTGGCCGAAGAGGGCATTTTTATCGCAAGAAATTGATATTTCGATTTATTTATACTGTACTTTAACCAATACAAGTGAAATACATCAATATATGATGGATATTTCAAGAGTAACAACGCTCTTTATTTGGGTTAGCCGCGGTGTCGAACGACTCTTCTCGGAGGGACCTGAAATGGGATCTATAATTATCTTTGGTTCTTTCGGTGAAGTCACGTCGGTGTAAAACATAAAATAACAATTAAATCTCGACGTTTCGATCGCAACACAAGCGACCGTCATTAGGTGGAACCGATACCACCAAAACCCTTTATAAGCTCTTTTTGTTAGCAGATCTTTCTAAATCAGCAGAAGTCCTGCTGTATCGGTTCCACCGGATAACGGTCGCTTGTGTTGCGATCGAAACGTCGTGATTTAATTTGTATTTTATGTTTCATACCTACGTGACTTTACCGAAAGAACCAAAGAGTATGGATCCCTGCAGTCACGAAAACTTCAAATCGAGACTGAATTGGGATGTTTCACCAATTTGATTTATTTGAGGCACGTTGAATGAACCAGAGTACCTGGAGAAATCCCACTTATACGAGAGGATAATAATAATTAAAATGCCACATATTGATCCCAGGATACAATTGTCATCTTCTCGCCACTCCACGATCCAATGGCTATGACGTACACAGCATATTTTTGTTTATTGCTGCAGCACTTTTACACAAGCCCAGGTACAATCATTGTTTCAGCTACTGTATATCAATGGAGAAATAAACACAAAGGAAAATGGCAATTTTGCATTTTGTTTTACTCTTGCAGTGACGATACATTCACTGTGTGCCATCTAGTCTAACACCGTTTGAGACGAGGCTCAAAAGAAAGCTATCTCTGGTGTGGACCAATGAGGGAATTTTTCTGGGATGGATGGTGGTGAGAATCCGGTTTTAGGTAAGCATCCTTATGGGTAGCTTTCCTGTAGACAGAGTGGCTCATTGAACCATCAGGTCTCTTTTTTATAGGACATCCAAAAAAGGTAGCTTGCCATCTTTTTCGACTTCCATGGTAAATCTGATGGCTGGGTGTATGGAATTGATGTGGTCGAGGAATTGGTCTCGAGTAGGCCGGCCATGTGGCCAGATGACAAAAGTGTCATCCACGTACCTCTTCCATAATGTCGGGCATAGAGTGGCAGTCTGGATGGTGTCAGTCTCAAATTTCTCCATAAAAACGTTGGCTACAACCGGAGATAGGGGGGAGCCTATTGGGGTGCCCTCAGTTTGTTTGTAGAACGTTCCATTCCAGGTGAAGTATGTATTGCTTAAGCAGTGTCTCACCAGGGGGGGTACCTCAGTGTTCAGTCCTTGATGAACCAAGTCTTCAATGATTATGATGGTGTCAGGTGCAGGAACTTTGGTGGATAAGGAAACCACATCAAAACTGACAAGCAGGTCGTCTGGGGATAGGGAAATACCCTTGATTGTAGATAACAGGTGAGTAGAGTTTAGTCTACAAATAGTCTACTTGACAGCGCACGTGTGGTTCCTGGTCAAGTTTTAAACAGATAATTGCAGTACTGTAAATCTATTCCACGCTTATCATTATGTAGTGAGTCCAACCGAGTCGCAGACGTTGTTCTTTAGAGGCAACACATTTATTGTAACATCAACACGTTAACACGAAGGGGTAACTGCCCCTTCACCAGATGACCCGTCTAACTATCGTCCGATCACCAACCTCACTACTACCTCCAAACTTCTTGAGCATCTCGCCCTCACCCAACTCAAGCCGCAGATCACATCCTCACAGAATGTATGCCCCTTTCAATCGGCTCATTGCAAGTATAATTCAACAGAGACCGCTCTGACTAGGATCCTGGACGACATCCTTGCCATTATCGACTTCCCGTTCCATTGCTTTACTCGTCAGCTTTGACATTTCCTCAGCCTTCGACGTTGTGAACCACAAAGCCTAATCAATCGCCTCGAGTCCGACTTCAGGATCAGCGGGACTGCACTAAACTGGAGTTCCTCATTTCTCTCCAGCAGATGTATCACCGTCAAAGTGGGAAGCCACTTTTTCTTACGCCATTCCGTTAACATGCAGAGTGCCTCAGGCCTCAGTCCTGGGCCCCCTGCTGTTTTCCGCCTATCCATCTCCAATTGGCCAACTGATCGACAGCTTTGACATCCAATACCACTCCTACGCTGACGACACTCTTCTCATCGCCTCCATTAAATTTCCCAACAACTCAGGTATTCACTATCTTTCCGCTTGCATTACAGCACTGGTTTCAAGATTACGACCTCTCCCTAAACACTACCAAATCCGAGGCCACCTTAATTGGCACTCAGAAAAGACTCGTTTCACTCCCACTCCCCTCGGGAATCTCGGCGTCACTCTGGATCCCACTTTCTCCATCGACACCTATGTCAACCTCGTTTTCAAGTCATGCAACTACCATCTCAGGGCCGTCCACCATCTACGTCTGCTCATCATCTCCAACATTGCAAATACTCTCGCCTGCAGCATCGTTGGGTCGCTGTTCGATTATTGTAACTCAGTCCTCGTCCGGTCCTCTCTAATCAACCAAAATAAGCTGCAACGCCTCCAAAACCACATTGTCCGAGTTGTCCACGGTCCCCACAACCCTCGCTCTGACTCCCATGTGTGTCCTTTGTGCTCTTCAATGGTTGCACATTTCGACCAGAATTACATTCGAGATCGCTTACCTCTGTTACCGCGCCCTAAAATCCGGCTACTCACCGTACATAAGTTCTCTGCTGATGCCTTACACTCCAATTAATTGTAGAAACCTTTGCAGTGTGTCGCAGAACCTCCTTGAAACTCCCAGGACAAGGACTGTAATTGCTTCTCGTCGTTTCTCCGTCACATCCCCGTTATCTGGAACGCCATCCCTATTGACATCCGCAACGATACATAATTTTCTTCGTTCAAAAACCATCTAAAGGCACATGTCTGCAGCTGGAACCGCACAACGCGATCTGACACTGAGCTCGGCTCCGTGCCACAGAATTGCGTCTTCGGTCCGCAACATTGTGTGCGTTATAAAATGTATTATTATTTGGTCGCATCATCTCTTAAGCAAAGACGAAAGGGAACAAAGGAAAGGGGATATTTGCATGGATCTCGTTAACATTGTTTGTTTTAGTTTTTTTTCAACATTCTGGCACTACAGACAATGCTATTTGCTCCGTATTATAATTACTTTCATCACCATAAAGATGAAAGGCAAAATAGATCGATGCGTCTGCATGCACACATGGCCTTGCAGCTGGTATTCATCTTTGTTGTTGGCTCTTAGCCAAAGGTACAAATTTCACATTTCCACAGTGGACCCTGTGCCGTAGCAGCATTCGCATTAACGGAGGACTTAACATAATACAAGTTTCTTGGGTTACATCGCGAAAATATGAATGTGTCGTTAAACCCACCACCACCCGACACAGCAAATTAGTAAGGGTTTTCACGTAAACAAAACATGACAATTGGTTACTAGTTCAGCACACCGGTGTGTTGGAGAGTAAACCCACAACATTTACAATTTGAGTACGACAAACAGTGTTCGTTCGCAAGACTGCTCCTCATTATAGGGCTGAGTATTTTTAACTCCCAGCTCAGAGCTTCCATTGGAGAGGACCATAGCTCTTTAAAGAGAAAATGCAACCCAAGAAAAACAGATGCCCCTCGACTCGGTGTAAAGTGCAGTGTCTAACTCGCATGCACTCTACCTCTGTATCAAGAACGGCCATTGTCCAAAACTTTCCAATTATAATTGTTTTTCTTGTGCGACTGGAGCGTTATTGACCAAGATATTCCAATTTAAAGCTTTAGCGACTGCAGGGATTCATCTTCTTGGTTCTTTCGGTAAAGTCACGTAGAAGGGAAATAATAAAATAATAAAAATAAAACATTATAAAATACAATTCTCACTGTGAGAATAATAAAAATAACAAAAATCAAACATAATAAAATCCAATTCTCACTGTGAGAATTGTATTTTATTATGTTTATATTTTATTATTTTATTATTTCGCTTCTACGTGACTTTACCGAAAGAACCAAGAAGACAAGATATTCCACTTCATTTTATTATTATTTGTGCCTGCGCATCACTGCCAACCCAGTCTCACCAAATAACGTAGAGCTAGACCGCGTGCCCTGAGCCTTCCAACACAGATGTAGTGGCATCACTGCATGGTGTGTGAAGCCGGCCTGTGTGAGGCACGACACACGCCGCTCACACCACCTACAGCACTGCAGTGGGAATGCAGTACCGACCGGCCTTAGCGGGGGCCGGCTGAGATCGCCGATCAAGGATGGATGGGCACTGCACTCCACGTGCAGTGCCAGCCTCTGGAGGTAAGGGGGCGAGAGTGCTAGGGACTAGGCCTCGACAGACCTGTTCTCCACCTGAGGACGGCTACTTGCGTTGTGGCCGAAACGTCGTGAGAATTATTTTATTATGTTTTATTTTTTATTATTTTATTATTTCAATTCTACGTGACTTTACCGAAAGAACCAAGAAGAGGAGTTATAAACCTTGTTCATGTGTAGTAGTTCCCTACTAATTACCCTGTAATCGGGTCATTTGTAAGGGTAAAAGGTAGGGTAGAGTGATTGTATTGTGGTAAGGTAAAAGGTAGGGTAAAGGTAGGCTCGTTGCTTTTTACCTTTTACCTTACCTTGCCGAGGCCTACTAGGGATGGTGAAGGGGCACACAGGGGGGCATGGCACTCCCTGTGAACCCAGAGGTCTGGTGACTGGAGGTACCGGTCCGGGGGCCCCAAAGAAGGGGCTGGGGGACCACGGGACCAGGAGCAGGCGGTTAAGAACGTTACAATAACAAACAGTACAAAAACATGATAGCAGTGCAAAGTACAAGAAAGTTAAACAAATAACCCAAACACATACAAATGCAACTAAACCATCCCCATCCGACCAGGCAAAGCCCACTGAGGTATTAACTTATATTTCAGGAGCGACCTGGCCACAAATAATAAGTAAACCCGTAAAAAGAAAGTTTTTCACTCTAAATCCTTTATATGCGTGGCGGCTAGAGTCCTCTCGTCCTCTGGCTTGAGATGGCTGCCACCTATGGGTCAGATGATTGTCTGCAGTATTAAACAATTGGTAATTAAATATAATATTTTTGTCCTAATAAGTGTAACATTTTGGAAAAAGTTTTTCACGAACATTAATTGTCACGCACAACGAGTCTGTGTGCAAAATGTCAGCTCGATTGGATCACGGGAAGTGGGTTAAAAAACGACCGAAAGATTTGCACGGTCGTAAGCAAGCAAGCAAGCACACAAGCAAGCTAGCAAGCGAACTTAATATAAAGGATTTAAAAATAGCTTTATCGCTCGTTGGATTCCTCCAGTATAAATACATATTCTTATTCTGAACATTTAACAATGATGAGTTGACTACATTTGTGACTGCTTTAGTTGCCTAGATGTATATATATGTTGAACTTCTTTTGCACCGTACATAGCCGACCGTGCTAATCGGAGGTGCAGGGAAAGGACAACAAACTTAACACAAAACGCAGTTCTAAAGAAACGAAAACGAAGAGAATACCTTAAGTCCACAGACTCTAGGCCCGCATTCTGAAAACACGGCTCGCCTCTTGCTCAGCCTCTCACACAGCTTCGACTCAGGCGTGAGCCACTCGGTCACGGCTCAGCCACGGCACGGCTCAAGCTCAGCTCATGGAAATCTTGAGCATGGCTGGGACCGCGCTCAAAACGGCTCGATTTAAACACAGCTTTGAACCGGCTCACTTACGCCAGAACCAAGCCAGAGCCCGAGCCATTTACTAAGAATACCGGGCCTTCGCTAACATTCCACATGTTGTCATTAATAGACGAGGACTATTAATTCATTAAATGTTGATTAACTAATTCCAATCCGCATGCGTGTGCAGGTGGTGCTCACCCACCACTGGTCACAGTGCTGGCGATCTCACCCCAAAAAATTAACCCGTAAAAACAAAATTTTTCACTATAAATCCTTTATATGCGTGGCGGCTAGAGTCCTCTCGTCCTCTGGCTTGAGATGGCTGCCACCTATGGGTCAGATGATTGCCTGCAACCATTAAGCAATTGGTAATTAAATATAATTAATTTTTTCCTAAAAAGTGTAAAATTTAGGAAAATTTTATTCAAAAAAATAAACTGTCACGCACAACGAGTCTGTGTGCAAAATGTCAGCTCGATTGGATCACGGGAAGTGGGTTAAAAAACGACCGAAAGATTTGCACGGTCGTAAGCGCAAGCAAGCAAGAAAGCAAGCAAGCAAGCAAGTGAACTTAATATAAAGGATTTAAAAAAACTTTATTATGGATAATATTGGTCGCGAAAGCCTACTTGTTAAAAAGGACTAAACGTTACAAGCTTATGTTATCACTTGCATGTATCAGGCGTATGTGCGTCATCACATTTCGTCATTCGTTTCCACCTTCCTCTGTCTTATGCCAATCTGCTCAAGTAGTACCACATCTTGCTGGCACCAATCTCTCATGTCGTTGTCAACCCATTCTCTTCTTGGTTCTTTCGGTAAAGTCACGTAGAAGGGAAGTAATAAAATAATAAAAATAAAACATAATAAAATAATTCTCACGATTATGTTCTATTTTTATTATTTTATTACTTTCCTTCTACGTGACTTTACCGAAAGAACCAAGAAGATGAATTCCTGCAGTCACGAAAGCTTTAAATCGAAAACCGTTCTCTGTTAGGTCTCCCTTTCTTTCTGGTTCTTCCATTTTTCCCAACAACACACTTTAAATTGTCCTGTTGTTGTCCATCCTACACGTGTCCAAATAGTGCCTTCTTGTTTCAGTCTGGCTATCATCAGGTTGTCTTCTTCTATGTGCAACTTTTTTTCTTACTTCTACGTTGGTCATGATTTGGGGACCAGCTTAGATGCAGTATTCTTCTATATCAATAGATTTCGAGTGCCAATACTTTTTGACTTAAAACTTTCGTGACTGCAGGAATTACTATTCTTGGTTCTTTGGGTAAAGTCATGTTGATATCTACGTGACTTTACCGAAAGAACCAAGAATATGCCAATTCCTTATCTCTCTCAGCCATTGCTTAAATGTCCCAGTCTCCCCAGGCATACAAAGCTGTGCTATACGTGCGTAGTGTGGGTGATACATTTCAGAGCTTGCGGGATGTTCTCCAAACAAGGGGCTCACCCAAGCCTCTCCAGCGCTGGTGAAGATCAACAGTGGCCCATAGGGGGCTCTACAATACTAAGCCCAGAGGTACCTACCGCTCACTCCGACTGACGCTATAATCTCGGCAATGTCTAAATGTGATAATACGGTCTGACTGATTTCTAAGCACAACCGCAATATCTACAACAAAGCCAAGTAATTAAAGCTCCCCCCGTTTGCAGAAATTAGTTAGAAGTATCTTCAAGAATAACCATGCTGGCTGAAGGGATATTGCAGTCTTATGCAGGAGCAGTGATGTGTTTTGTGTTGGTCTAGTATGGTGCTATTATGCAAACAAGCATATTCTTCGAAGCACAGCTTATTGAGCAGACATTGTGCATGCTACGAGCGCGTATTAAATGTCTGTATTTAATATTTACCTGTTTAAATAGCCAGACTGCATTGTGTTATGTACTGAGGTCTTTGAAATTGCCAAAAGTGCATATACAAGCATTGTACAATTATCACATATCCTATTCGAGAGACCATACATGTTCAGATAAAATATAATTACCGGCTGCATATTAATGTATTTAAGAATAACTGGATGAAGTTCAAAATATACATTTTTATGGTGCATTATCTGTACAGAAGTAGAGTGCAGCTTTCAATCATTAAGTTTCCAGTTTGATTCTCAATTGGCGGTCAATTCAGCCCTTCATCTCTTTGTGGGTCGATAAAACGAGTACCACTTTGCGTGGAACGTCAACAGTGGTGGCCGTTGTCCTGTAGAAAACTTCACCTCACTCAACGAATGTGGAAATTCTACTCCTGGCTCGGGCCAGTAAATAGCAGATGAGCAGAGCCCTATGATCAGTTGATGTTAGGTTTAATGGTGGCGCGCTTATTGCATGGAGGTTTTTTGTTGTTATCATCACCTCGTTTTGCTCGATTCAAATAAAATGCATTTACTTGAGAGAGATATTTATAAACACGTTTGATTAAGTCATAGACGTGCTGGGTAATTTCGAGCAGCTAATCAAACTCACTGAGCCATTTCGGCAAATTGTGTCCATTTTTAGACCATTATTGCCATGCAACATTTGAACGTCTCAACTCACTGTCTGCCACCATTAAATAGGTATAAATGCTGTGAAATAATTCCATAATTTCCGTTGAAAATCCATCAGTGTGTCTATGTTGATGGGTCTTCATTAATTAGTACAATAAGCTGCCACTGACAGTTAATAGCCCGACTGCTGTGGATGTCTTCACACGCGAGTGAGTATAGTGCCGTGAGAGTCAGGTCTGCACGATGGCCTGCGCGTAATTAACAGTCTAAAATGACGTCGATAGCACATACATCTAAGCAGTGGCTTTAATCGCGCACCCCTTTAATCTGTAACAGCTGTGAAAAAAACGAACAGGGCCTCGATTTTCAAAAAAGGCACGGTAATTGTGGATTTCTGCAGAATGCATTTCAAACAAACCATCGCTTGAGTGATTAATTACCAATTTACCAACGGGTGATGTAAAAAAAGATACCCTACATTTGTCTCCATCTATATTTACACAACTCACATCATTGTCGCCTTTTAGTCCAGCACTACGCCCGGCCGCCTTTGTCTCTCCAGCGGTGATGTTTTTACACATCGCACCAGGTACTCATTTGAGGTCGAGTCGACCTAGGGGAGGCCCAGAACCGCTTCGGATATTCGTTACCGACGTTGGCTGTGAGCGGAAATCGAACTCGGGTCGCCAGGGTCGTAGTTCAGTGCGCGAACCACCGCAGCACCAATCACACACAACGCGCGCACACACACACACACGTCCTCCTAACACTCAACAATTGTGGCAGACTTGCCTTGCACTCTATCCCCACCCTGCACACACACATACTGTGCACAGCAGAGCACTGCCAACGCCATCCCCCCCCCCCCCCTGTCTTCAGTTGCCTTTATGCTGAACGTGATAATGCAGTCTCATTAAAACTCGTATCACCAGAGCAATGGGACATTTCTGTTTTGTTTGTCATTGTCAGAGAGCCAAGCCGAACTCCTATAGGCCACAACTGTCAGAGCCCACTCGCTGATTTTCAGGAGAAAACTATTTTTCTGCTTTGCATGTTGTGAAACCACAATTCATATTATTTTTACTATGATGATGAATGGTGACAGAGAGAGACCCTTATTTG